AGTACTTCAGTTTTTATAAAAGAATCATTTTTCTTTGAAAAAAAAAAAAAGAACTCGTATACATATTCAATTTTTCCTTAATTTCAAAAAAATGCTTTATAATGGAAATAAAATTATGGTCTGGATTTTTGATGATATATTTTTGAAATTCGAGTATTACAAAAAAAAAAAAAAACGAAAGATTTGTAGTTATTAAATTGATCAAAAGTCTGAATACTTTTGATAGATGAATTAATTATTTTTACTTAGTCTAGAATTTTCTTTTCTTGTTGTTGTAAAAAGATTATATTTCTGATGAAAACTTAATTAAAAAGAACACCTTTGTATATGATGATTAATTCTACGTATTAAATAAAACACAAGAAAAAACAATTTTTTTTAAGGAATAAATTATAAAATTTTAATATTATTTTTATTTTTTTATTTTTTCATAGTGATTGTGGGAACATGTTGTGTAGTCGGTTTTGTGGGTCTCGTTGCGGCAGCTATTTTCTGGTATAAGTAAGTATTTATTTTACAATTTGTTCTTTTTTTTTTCTTAAAACAATCTTATTAGATTATCTGTTAATTAATCTTTATTGAGAATAAACGAAAGAAAAATATTTAAATTATTCTAGATGATGATTCAGTCTTATTATAAAAATAGAAAAATTTTTCTCGATTATGTAGAACACTAAAAAAAGAAGAATTGTGCTAATGCAATTATCATTATTAAAGATATAAAAATTTAGCCGATGACATTGTCTTAAAATAGAAAAGAATAATTTAAAGTTATTTTGAAAAAAAAAAACTATTATATTTCTTATGAATTTTTAAATACTTTATAAAATGTTCTTACAAAATGCTCAATACTTATTTAATAAGACAAATGGTTTAGAGTCGGATAAATGTCATAGATTTTCTTTTCTTTAAAAAAAAAAAGGATTCAAAAACGAGCAGAAGCAGCTGTTGATGCTGAATATCCATCGTATGGTGTTACAGGACCTGTTTCTAGTGGTAGTAAAATTTCACCAAGTTCAACAATGTCTGATCGAAAATTGGCTCAAAGTGCACAAATGTTTCATTACCAACAACAACGTCAACAAATGATGGCACAAGAAAAGTATAAATAGAAAAAAGAATATGATTTTTACTTTTAAAAAAAAAAAAAAACTTTTTTTTCCATAGAGCTCATCTAGATACGAAACCAGTTCATTCAGATGATTCCGATGATGAAGCACCTGGAGGTGGAGATTATACAGTATATGAATGTCCTGGTCTCGCACCTGTACGTTACAATTATTTTTTTTTTTATTATTTTATCTTTTATATTAAAATTTGAAATTTATTTTTCTTTTATTTTTAGACTGGAGAAATGGAAGTACGCAATCCACTTTTTGCTGAACATGATTCATCAATGATATCGCCAGCATCGAGCACACATCCAACAACTAACACTCATTTTCCACAACCATCAACATCTATTTCATCCTCATCCCCAACCAAAGAAAAATCCTTGCCTTGAAAAAAATTATTAAAAAAAAAAAAAAAAAAAGAAAAGAAATGCATTGCATTTAACATTCCTAAATAATTCTCCTCGGTGATTGGTCTTCTCTTTAACTTTTTCTCCTATTTTTTTTTCTTCTTCTTTTATCGTCCATCTTATTCACCGAAATGTATATGGATAAAAAAGTTTCATTTAATGATTTGGATTTCTTTTGTTTTTTCGTGTATTAATAACGTATAACAGTGACTAATTTCTTCTCCTTTCTTTAAGACAATAAAAATAAATCATAAAAAAGAAAACCAGTGAAGCGACCATCACATTAGACTAACAAACATTATTTATAATGTTTTTATTTTTATTTTACTCATATCTTTGTTTGAATTGGAAATGTATTGAGTTGAACAGACAAATAATTGGAGTCGTACTATTCAACCATTCGACCTGATATTCACTGTTTGAGATATATATCGAAAACTGTGAAAACAAACGGAATTTCGACATGAAATTTTGCCCATCAATAAGTCGATTTCCCTGTAGAATATCTTAAAAGTTACGCCCGAAAATAATATTTCCTCGTCTAAATATTAAATTTCTAATTAAACTCCGTTTTTATATTACGCCTGTGGCAAAAGATCATTTTTGATAACATGAAACATTAATATCAGTTAAAATTTCTAGGTTAATCTAACTAAAAAACAAAATTCTGTTATTTTCTAAAACTTATTTAAATGTAAATTGAAAATTCAGTGGACCGATTATAATTTAACACAAACAATCTAAGAAAACAAACTCCTTTAACCTTTTTTTTTTCTACTGTTGACAAAAAGTTCTCAGAAGCTCAATATGACCTTCTCAAATAGTGTGCATGCGTTTGAATGATTCCCTTGTGAATCAACTTTGTGTTAAGTAAATATTATTACATTTCAATTGTTTAATATCATGCGTGTTCATGTGTCACTAGACAGAAAACAAGATGTCAAATATTTGAATGTTTATATTTACTTAATAATGTTCTTAACATATGTTAATTTTTGTGTTGTTTTTATAACCAAGAAAATTTTCATGAATTAATACATTTATAATGAAGTTATTGTTTATTATAATGAAATAATTATCTTATTCAAATTTTTATATATATGTAAAAATAAGTCAAAGCAAATTTTATGAATAGAACAAATATTTAGTTGTTTTGTTTCCATTAAAAAAAAAAAACATACCTTGAAGCATTTGTTGTTTTTGTAAATTATGACAAAAACATGATTTTTTTTTTTATTTTGTTAAAAATCATAAAATAATTATAAATTTAAGAGTATTTATTTCGAGCTTTTTTTTTTGTTCATTAAACTATTATCAAAAATTTCCATTAAGCTTACTAGTAAAACATCATGTTGATACTCTCAGATTTTATAAGATTATGATGGTACTCATAGATAAATTTGATATGATTGTTTCTTTGTTTTTTTTTTTTTGAAAGCAAGTTACTTTTTAAAATGTCGAACTTGATATATGTTCGAAAGGTTTAGTTACATGTTTCTATTGAATTCAAATGTCACGATACTACTAAAAGAAATCTTCATACCTTGAAAATTGTCTTTGAGTTCACATAGATAGACTTCAGTGATGTATAGAGTCTCTAGGCATTTCCTACAGATCTATAGAGATTTTAATGAAATTTTGTTTATAACTAGAATGTGAAAATTTTAACTCAAAAGAATATTCCATCCACACGATATTGACTTTTTCAAAAACTCATTTATAATCTACGAAAGATTTTAAAATCTAGTATTTTATGAAAAGAAATATTCTTATGAGCTAAAAATTTTCAAAAACACTCAAAATTATCAGATAAACGAAAAGTGATTTCTCATTAATAATATTTCAATAGAAAAAGTTAAATATAATGAAAATTCTCTTTTATTCTAAAGTTCAAATAATCAATGATTCATGCATTCTATTGGACGAATATATGTCTCTTTTTTTTTAATTGATACAAGCCTTCTATTCTTTTTTTTTGGTTTATAAAATAAAATAAATGATGTAAATAAAAATTGTTCAGACTAAAATACACAGCACGCGCACATATATAATTCAGTTTTTTCGAATCATTTGAATTATTTTGGTTTAGCACAATAACCAGTTGTTTGTTTATTGCACAAATTTTCATAGCAACATAGATAATGTTTAGCATCGCATTTAAGATTTTTATCAATTGCTTCACCAAATCCAAAACCACCACGAGCAACAGCAACACCTGTTTTTGGATCAAATTTCTATTTAATAATAACAGTAATTAAAATTGAAAGAGAATAAAAATTAATTACATACTGTATAACAATATAAATTTTTACCACCCCAAGCACCTGATGTACGAATTTCAGATCCTTCAAGTTTTTCTGCTTTACAAGCTTCAGAACCTTTACATTGATAACATGCTTTTACTGCTTTCTTTGATGTTATTTTTTCTATATTCAAAAGACATATTTATTATTTTTGAAAAATGTAAAAAATAGACGATTAAATACTAACCTGGTGGTGGACAAGGTGATTGAGTATGTTTATTACAAAAAGCTTTTCTGCAACATATATGAAAACGATCTCGACATTTAAAATTTTTATCATATGTTTCACCAAGTCCAAATGCGCCTCGTTTAATAACATGACCAGATGCATTGAATCGCTTTAAAAATACAAAAAAAAAACAATTTTTTTGATTGATATTTTCATATCTTGTAAAATATAGAAAGATATAAGCGACTATTTTTATATATGTATAAAATCGAGGCAAATATTCTAGTTAATATAATTATAATTCAAATATTACCGTAAAACATGTTAAAACATTAGCACCAAATGCTTTTGAAGTTTTTGAAGCATATTTTTCAAATGGTACACCAGTACATCTTGTAATTTTTTCACCATAAAATTTTAATTTACTTGATGGATTTATATCGTCACATTGATAACAAATCTTAGCTCCAATATAATCCAATTGAATGACAACTACTATAAAGATTAATATTCGAAATAGGAATGCATTTTTTTTTCTATATATTATTGATATTAGAACTTACTGTAAAAAATTATGGTGAGAAAAGTAATTTTGGATATCATCCTATTCTATGCGCAAGTATGTACTGTTATATTCTGAATATAATGTTAGCTTGTAGATAGACAAGAAAAAATAGTTGACTGATATATAAATGTATATTTTTCCTCCTCCGTTATGTTAATATCAACACCAATAAGATAAGCTCCAAGGTCGTCATCATAAACGACCTATTGAATATATACATAATGGAATATAGTTATTCGATAGCAAGAAATATGTTGTGCCAATGGTGGTTATGACAAAAAAAACACATGATGATAGATAATAGAGATATAGTTTTGACTTAGATGCATAGCAGAATAAATTAAGTACAAATAATTTAGTTTTTTTCCTTTTTTTCAAATCATGTTTATAACAGCAAAAAAAAACAAACATAACAAAACTATAAATAATTGTCCATCATGATTATTTGTTTGACGAACAATCCTAAACATAGAAAAAAGAAATATAAACATGACAAAAAAAAAACGACATTTACCAGTACTGGTGGAACTGTACGTAATAAACAACAGGTACCACGACCAGCACCTCCAATAAGTTGTAATGTTCGAATTTTCATTAAATTTTTGCTACAAAAAAAAAAAATAGCTATCGATCTATTATCATATGGAAAAAGTTTTTATTTTTATCTGATTTTACTTTTTTATTTACTGAAATTATGTTTTAACTAATCAATTCATCTATCACAAGAGAGTACACTTTAAAAAAATGCAGAATTTTATAGCAAAAGAAATCTTTAATAATATTTTCATCATTTTATTAATTTTGAAGAAATACTACACTTTTATAAATTTTTCTTAAAACACTTGAGAACGAACGCATAAATAGTTCTGAAACAAAAAAAAAATTTTATAATATTGAAAATTTAGATTGTTTGTTTTGTTGAGATGTTAAGTTTACAAAGTACAAGACCTTCTCTAGTATTCATTGTAAAGAAAAAGAAAAAAAGCCTTTAGGCAAAAATTACATAACAGTATTAAGTATTAAAAATATGATATCTCAACAAAAAAAATCAATGAGAAAAGAAATGTAACTTTGAAATATCTTTGTTTTTCAAATAATAGTTCTACAAAATTATATATTTCGATTAGTTAATTATATATCAATGTGTAATAGATTACATTAATCAACTAGATGAGGTCAACATTTTTTGAAAATATAATCGGAAGTATTGACTTCCTTTGTTATTTCGAAAAACAAGATTTCTTAAATTTGATGTTTTTTTTTTTGCTTACAGTTAACAAAAGTTAAAATATGTGCAATTCATTTTAACTATTAATAGATTATTCTTTATGAATATGTAAATCTTTGTAAGAAGAAAAGCTACAAAATAAACCTTACGTAATTTCATCAGTTTCGACAGGATGAATTAAACCATCATTATCATATTCTTTAAAAACATCTTTAATAAAATAAACATTTTGAGAAATTTTTGTTTTTCAAATATCAATATTAAGAACATACGTGCTTGTTTAATAACAGTTACAGGTGTATAATTATTTATTATTGTTTTATGATTTATATCTTCAATATTATATATATAATGTTCAACATCTTTTTGTTGTTTTTCATTTAAAGGTTGATTAATCAATGGTGATGGTGATAATAATGTTGGCATTCTTGATAAAATATCTATAATTTAGAAAATAAAAAAATAAAAAAAAGATACAAACTGAATCGAAGATGAAATTATCATTGATTCACTAAAATTGATAATGAAAAACACTGAAATACATGATATTCTCATTTATTTACTTGTTTTCGACACTTTTTGCACGTCGTTCACGAATATCATCTACTTGTGAAATGTATAAGTCTTATGAACAAAAAAAAAAAAACAACGGTCAAAAGTCATTACCATCCCAATCTTCAGTAGCATTTACATCGTGAAACATTTGCCAATCAGTTGGTACAGATGATCGATTACAATTATCAATCCAAGGTCGACCTGGTGCTAAAATAGATCTCAATATTTTCTATTTGATTCAATCAATTGTTTTTTTTTCTATATTAAAAAAATTTACGAATATCAGAAAGACCAATAAGTACAGTGCTTCTATTAATTGCATCAGGACATGTTGACATATGAATGAGTAAATCATTTGGTGTTGTTAAATGATTAGCATTAAAAACACATCGAACACGACGAATATGAGGATTAGCCTAAAATTAAATTAAGAAAAATAATGTGATATATTTCAATGAAATCATGAAAGATACATATAGTTTTCTTACAAATAAAAATACCCAAAAAAAGAAAAATAGTTGCCGACTTACAATCATACATCGTCGAATATGATATTGAAATCGTTTAGCAAGTACTTGATGATTAAGATCAATTGGACAACGCCAAAAATCTATTATTCAAAAACAGAACAGCAACTATCTCAATCTACTAGAATACAAATAAATTACCATCAGGACAAAGATATAGATTCGACATTTATTTAAATATTATACTATTATGTATCGTTTCTAATGAAAATATGTATATTTAAAAGACTGATAAAGAAGGAAGAAAAGAAAACGAGAAGTTTGATGTTCACGTGTTACGTCGAGGGACTAATGAAAAAATACGTGATATAATAAATAATATGAACAAAATGATTTTGTATATACGAATATTGTATTACCAGCTGTCTTACAAGACTAATAAAAAGAAATAAGATCTGTTATAATAGTCTCAGTGTTAAAGATCAATACTATTATCTCTCGATTTAAGCCAGAATTCTTCACATCGGAACTTTCTCTTCTCTTGCAAAAATGTTTCACTTTCTACTAACTCTTTACAGCTTCGTGATAGTTTTGAACAGAAACCGGATTTTGCTGTACTATTTACCTTTTTTCGACAGAAAGGGAAATAAAATATAAGTAGACACGAGATGAATAGGATTAGGACAGACTGATGGCTCATCGTTTTTAATGAGAGAGGTCAGATCATGGTTGGTTTCATTCTTTTCTTTCTTAGCTCCTGTCATAAAATCTAGCGCTCCGAGAATGAAAGCACTTTTTGCGAGAATTTTTATTCAAATTATTTCCGTCAGACCTACAAATTATCGATATGTCTAGGTTCAGGAATTTGAGCTGAAACACCTTCAAAGACAAAGTTCATACTTATTTCTAAGCTTTTAAAACCTTTTTTTAAACAAAAATTATGAAAATAAATGAGACATAATTGAAAACCCACCAGCGAAAATTTGTTGACTTGAATAAAACATCACACTGGAACTAGCGGTTTCTATTTTGCTGACCACTGCTTTTTTTTTATCAAGATACATTTGTTTCACACTAATTCTAACACAATGAGTATTGAATACAAAAGATAGAATATATGAAAATACTTGTCGAAATTTTAACACTATTCATAAGGATAATGATTGTTTCAACTGTCAGAAATTCAATCAATTGTTGTTCTCTATTCACTTCAGCATTAATAAAATACATTTATACCAGTTTACTTCAATTATGATTCTCATAATAAACGAAAATCTCTAAAGAAACTTGTCTTTACAGAAAATTGCTCTAACGATTTAAATTGTTTTACGAATAAAACTAAAACTGATCAATTGAATTAAAAAATAATAAATCACTACTGAAGATCTATGTGCCTATTATATTTATAAGCTAGAAAATGTCAAAAACATGAACGATTTCATCCTTTAACAATGTGATCTCTCAAATTAAAATGTCTATAACTTGAGCTTTAGTATTTCTTTTAATTAATTTTAATTAAGTCACTCTACATACTCTGAAAAATTCAGTCCTATAGATTTTGATTCCATTGATTTATTATTGAAAAACCAACACTAGCAACGTGATACAAAAAAGAATAAAGGTTTTCACTTCATGCGATTGCATTCGCAAGTCCTGCAAGATCAAACAGCAATGCCAATTAATACAAATCCTTCTTGGAAATGATGAGATGATATTAGAAGCAAAAGTCTGGTTTTTAGACAAGAGCAGACCTCTGAACAACCAGTTTTTAGAGTCCAGTCTTGCTGATAATTTCACCATAGATATAATCTCATTGAAGTAGAACAAAATCGAAAAGTCATGTGTATTTATAGTTAATTTTTTATTTTTCTCATAATTCTATTAGTTTAGATTTTTAATCAGTAGTAATGATGATGAGTATCATCTGATATAGATTAACTAAAAGAGTCGAACGAAACACTATTAAATAGCTGAAATTCTCTGATCATGATCACAGCTGAGCCATCTTCAGCAGATTTAGCTACACTAAAATCCCCAGCTATTTCATTTATATGTTTATTAAATTTGAATGATTAACATATGTATCATTAATTCAATGCAGGTCTAGGAAAAAGATCAAAACAAGCCACAACAATTCTAATTCAACATCGTACTAACAATCTTCGTGAACGATTTTATGAAACTATTATAAATTCTAAGGAATAGTTCTATAATTTATCATTTACGGTTATTAACCAAAAAAAAATGATACTTTATAAACTTTTTCTGTTTTATTTCTTGACCTATTTTTGGTCTCTGTTAAAATATTAACATTAAATTATACCATAAAGCATGTCTTCAGTTAATCAGAATTTTTTATAAAACACATTTTGACTATTTCTCACATTAACACTTTTGTTTTTGACATTTTTACAGTCAACCAAAAGAATCAATATTTTAACATATATTAATCAGTGAAGGAACTTTGTTCAAAAAAAAAAAACTAATCTTTACATAGAATCAATTTCAAATCGAAAATGTTCATGTCTTATGTTTTTTAGTTAATTTGATCTATATATATTGAACGTATAAAATATGTTACTATAGTAGTTTCTTTTTTCCATTGATGATGTTTAAGTATTTCTAATAAAACAAACAAGTAAATATTGTCTATAAAATCATATTATCACTCTGTCTTAAGTTACCTATTCAATCAATGCGAAAAACAAAGCAATAAAATTACAATAGTATTAAATAGCAATGTTGTCAATCTATTTTAAACATGTATATGATATTATAAACAATGAACGATACAATAAGTTTAGTGTCAAATATCATTTTAAAACGTTTGTTTGTATATGTTCAGTAATTTGAATCTTATATATATATATTGATCAATTATAAATAAATCCCAAGTTCAACTATACATTTATTCATTTGAGAAAATTTTTAATACGAATAATAATGCTATTTCATATTGTTGTTATACTTATTTTATTATCTATATTTATGCCAATAAGTATTTCATTTGATCATACTATTCGATTATATGATTCATTTGCTGAAATTCATCAAGAATATAAAGGACCACTTCGTTTTCAACAAATTGATTGGAATAATATCAAACATGAAAGTATTATATTACGTTCGTCATTAGGTAATCATATTAATGATACAAATACGATGTTTGAACGACGAATCAATCGAATTCATATGAATATGACAGGTAATTAAATACAATTAATATTTCTTATATTAAATTTTTTTGTTTTTTTTTTCAGGTAAAAAAGTTTTTGTTCGTAGATATCCTGAACATAAATTTCCTATTATATGTGAAATAATCAATGAAGATAATAGTTATACACTTGTACGTGAAATTGAAACAGGACATTATTTTCGTGTTCAATCGAATCTTATTGAATATCTTAATGAACCACAATCAAATCCAATTTATGAAGTTTCTTTTCATCCTATACCAACCAATAATTCTTTTATTGTTAGTTATATTATTAATAATCTTCGATGGCAACCACGTTATATACTTCAAACATTTTCTGATCGTTCACCAATATTTCAAATATTAGTTGATATTATTAATACAAGTCCATTTAATTATCATTTTAATCAAACATATTTAATGTCAGGTGATATTGATCTTACATTTGGTACAAATAAAATTTCATCATTAATTGATTCAAAAATTTTAACTAAAACTAATATTGATTATAGTGGTATTCATTTATTTTCATTTATGAATAATTCATTAATAATTAAACCTTATTCAATATTTACATTACCTATACAATCATCTAATATACAAATAAAAACAATATTTATATATACACTTATATTAACAATACCAACAATATCAACAAATAATATTATATCAATTATATCAAATAAACATAAATTTCAACGTCTTTATCAATTATCAAATAGTTCATCATTTTTACCAACAGGTCATTTATTACTTTATGATTCAACATTAAATGTACTTACTGGTGAATGGCATTTACCAACATTAACTGAATTTGAAAAATATGAATTTAAATTAGGTGAAGATCCTGATATTATATTAGAATATAATCGTACAACAACAAATAATCAAAAAACAAATTCATCATTAATAACAACAAATATATTAATACAAAATTATAAACAACAAAAAATAAATATAAGATTTAAATCTATATGTGAATTATCATTAGTTTGTGTATTTTATGATGATAAAGCACGTTCACTTGGAGCTCGTCTAGATTATGAACTTAATCTTAAAGCTAAAGCTGAAGTTGCATTTTCATTTACAACTATAAGACTTTTTTAAATTTTAACATTTTATGAGATTTTTGTTGACCTTTGTTCTCTTTTTTTTTCTTCAAATATCTCTATTGATCTAGCCAACTTAAATCTTTTTTTTGATATTCATTATTGTAAAACACTTGATGATAATAAAATCATACAATTACAATATACAAAAATAAAAGTATCATATATTAAACTCGTATGAGAAAAAAAACATTATCAAACGAACATGAAAATAATCTTCGGACATGATGATATGAGTTCATATATCATATAAAAATAAAAAACAAGAATGAAAAAGATAGAAAAACACATGAAAAAAACAAGTTTTATGAAGGTGTATATTTGCATCTACCTCCTCCTATCGATCAACGATAGGCTATAAGTGGATGTAAAATAAGAGCAGCATATATATATATCTATATAATAACAGGTTATCAAAAGAAGAATTTTAGACATTAGTTGTTCATATCATTGTAACAAAACACAAAGATATATTAATTAAATATGAATATAATTAATAATTTAAAAACAGCATCAAACAATGAATGTATGCTAGAACATGAAGATATTGAAGGTTCATATAATTTAAATCATCATATTCTATCAGTTTTTATATTATTAATTGTATCTTTTATTGGTACTTGTTTTTCAATTGTAACAACACGAATTAAACGTCTACATATTAATCCAATTATAATTAATACGGGAAAATTTTTTGGTAGTGGGTATGTTAAATAATAAATTATTGACTATTCAAACAGTAAGAAATTTTCATTTCATTTTTTAGAATCATACTAGCAACAGGTTTTATTCATATGTTACCACCTGCAATGGAATCATTAACTTCTCCTTGTTTACCCGAATCATGGAGTAAATATAGTGCTTATGCCGGTCTTTTTGCTATGTTAGCTGTACTCATTATGCAATTGATTGAATTTATTGCTCATGAAAAATATTATTCTCGTGTTCATTCAATAGAAAGTGGTACAAGTTCACCATCTGAAACAAGCCAACATGTAGAAATAGGAACTTCAGTAACTGAAGTTGTTAATACACCTGTAGAGATTAGTAAATCAACACATCATCATCATCATCATCATCATCATGGTACAGCTTTTCAAGATGATGTTCAAACTAATAAAATAAGTGCATATTTACTTGAATTCGGTATAGCACTTCATTCAATTCTAATTGGTATAGCATTGGGTACAGCTAGTGAATCTTTTGTTGCTTTATTTATTGCATTAAGTTTTCATCAATTTTTTGAAGCAATTGCACTTGGTGCACAAATTGCTCGTTTAGATCATTTATCATTAAAATCAATTATTTTTATGGTTATATTTTTTGTTTTAACAACTCCAATTGGTATTGCTATTGGAATTGGTATTCATTCACAAACATACAATCCAAATTCAATTGCTTCATTACTTGCCAATGGTATTCTAGATGCAATATCAGCTGGTATTCTTATTTATGTTGCTATTGTTAATTTAATAACAGCTGAAATGGGTGCTAGTGCTAATACATTTCATGCATTAAGTAAACGTTTAAAATTCTTATATTTTGTTGCATTATATGCTGGCGTTGCAGCTATGGCGGTTATAGGAATATGGGCTTAATAACATAAATAAGCGACGTTTTTTTTTATTGTCATTAAAAAAAATATTTGAAATAAATAAATTTAAAGATTTTACATTAACATACCGATCGATATTTTAAATGCCAACGAGAGATTTTGTAAGCATGAAACAAATGACTAATACTTGTTGATAACTTAAGGATTTCACATTCTTTATATATATCATAAAATATATGTATTTATTCAAATTCTGGGGTGCTGGTATGCACCCCTGTTCTATTTCTTATCTGAAAACAATAAATCAAAATCAACGATTATCATCACTTGGACAAAGAAACAGAAAGATATCAAGAAATTTTTCAAAAGTTCTTATTTCAATAATATTTTAACTAAAAACTAATAATCGTTGATTATAAAAGTAATAAGAAAATATACTTATAGAATAAAATAAGATTATGTTACATGCAAATGCAGGCAGGACCTATTCATTGAGCACATATGATATAAAAATAACCGAACAGAGCATATGTCAAAATGATAAAAAAAAAACATCGAACATCCTAAATCGATAATTTATTTCTGAACTATCAATTATTGTTTTATAATATTCTTGATGACTATATATTGTATAAAATAAATGGTTAAAGTATGTTTTATAAACATATGAACTTCTAACAGACATTACCATTCTACTCATAATATATTCGAAGATAATACAAAAGTTTCATTAGTAAGTTTTCATAACCATATAAATTAATATATTCAAAATTCTTATACAAATTTATTGAATGTTTTTTATTGAATTGAGCATCAATTTTAATACATTCTGAAACAAATGAATGTTGATACTCAAAAGCTTCATCAAAAAGTCAAATTCAACAACACATTAAATAAAGAATATACAAATACTGAAATTGTTATTACGAAACTATTCGATGGTTTACCATTAAATGTAACAAAATAATAGAAATAAATTTAAACACTAAACAATATGTCATCACTCTTATTGGACTTTCTTTTCTCTTGCCTATAATATTACTCACATATGATTTATTAGTAAATTTTTATGAAATAAGATTTACAAAAAAAACATTTTTTGAAGTACAAATGTAAAAATTTGAATCTTTCTTCCATCACTACACTAAGCTAACAAACATTACCAGCAATGCCTTAATATTGAAACTACATCTCTCTTGCATTTCTAAATGATTTCTTTTTTTCTACATAAAGGGTGTTCCATAATAACTGACGATAAATTGTTATTCATATTTTTCATACTTTTTCTTGACATAGAGGGCTGAAATTTTTATCACATATATATCTAATGAAGATCCTCTGTTTCTGAAAGTTTCAGGTCTCTAGCTGTAACTACTGGTGAAATACATCAACAACATTCAAAGATATAAATTTTCGAAATCGATTTTTCAATACTTTTTATTGTGAAAATGTTGCAGGATATTTTCATGAGTAGTTAACCAAAAAATCACAAACTGTTCAGAAAATTTTTTTTCGTATTAGAATTCGTAGAGCTTTTCCCGCTGATCATTTTGGTAAAAAAACTTTTCCAATTTCATTGAGAAATGACGATGTTATAGGCAAAATACTAAACACTTTAAAATAGGTTAAAGCGTAAGGAAGTCGATTCGTATATCTCAAAATGTGGCTATATTCTGGAGAAATGTGACTTAGTAGGTTTTGTAGAGGAAACCTTGCTCTACAAGATCCTATAGTCCGTTTCTGAAATATAAGCAAATAGGATGAATAATTCTCGATTGAACATTGTATGCGATATTTCTATGAAAAAAATCTGACATCTTCTATTTTTTGCGATAAATATTTTAACTATAACATCGTCATTTCTCAATGAAATTCGAAACATGTTTTTACCAAAATGATCAGCAGAAAAAGCTCTACAAATTCTGATATGAAAGAAAATTTTCTGAATACTTTGTGAGTTTTTGGTTAACTATCTATGTAACTGCCCCGCTAAGTCGATTACGAAAATTCATGTATTCAAATGTTGTCGATGTATTTCACCAATAGTTATAGCTAGAGACCTGAAACTTTCAGAAACAGAAGATCTTCATTAGATATATATGTGATAAAAATTTCAGCCCTCTATGTCAAGAAAAAGTATGAAAAATATGAATAACAATTTATCGTCAGTTATTATGGAACACCCTTTATGTATCGAACTTTTTAAAGAAAAAAAACGACTTTATAACCGATCATAATTTCAGTATGTTATAGATAAGCATTGAATATTGATGATATAATTAAAAATGTTTTACATTTCAAACATTAGTTTAGTATTTCAAAGTATTTTAATTGAATGAACTTCTCATGTTTTATATAAAAAATTTTTATTGAATTAATTGAATAGTTCAACTCATCGAAGCAACAAAAAAACAAAACATAAAAATTTAAGGAAATTTACAATATGAAGTTTAATAGAATGAAGGATAAGATGAATATGACATTGAATAATTCGGATAAGCGGATGTAGTACACGGAGGATAATAATAATAATCAGTCAATGGATAATGTGAATTATTAGTTGGTGTATAAGTCATTTGATATGTTGATGGCCAATAATCTAAAATCCGAACAATACTAAATAGAAATTAAATAATAAAGATTTAATTTACTTGATGACGGATTTGATGTAATAGATGAATCAAAATTATTATTTATTGAAAATTGTTTCATATCCGTAGATGTTGATGCAATATTTTCTTCTTCATGTGTTGATATTAGACTTGAATATGTTGTTGTTGTTGATTTTCTAGTACGAGCACGACGATTACTAAACCATACTTGAATACGATTTTCTTCAATATTTAAATGTTTCGAAAGATTTTCACGTGTTGTTACATCAGGATATGGTGTATGAGAAAAAAATTCTTCAAGAATTTCAATTTGTTCATTAGTAAATGATGAACGATAACGACGTTTTGTAGTAGTTTCACATATTGGTAATGTTTCATTAAGTGAATTATCTAAATAATAAAAAAACAAAATTTTCTTCAATTAAATTTGCAAAAGAAAAAAAAAATTTTAATATTTTACTTTTGCTTTCATCTGATTCTTCAATAGTTATATCATTATCATGTATTTGTCGATTATGAAATTTAATTTGTCGTCGACTACTTATACCTGGTTTATATGAACCTGTTTCAGCATAACGTGAAAGTAATTTTGATACACAACCATGAGATACTTGAAGCTATAAAATAAAATCATATTAGTTTCAATAATTAGCCTTTGTATAAGATATGTCATACTTGACGACTAATCATACAAGGACGAATTCCTTCTGATGCTAATTCAATAATTTTTCGACGAATATGATCCGGTAAAGGACGACCATTAATAAATACACCACCTAATTGATTGACACGACCATGGCCAGCTAGAAAATTAATAAAAAAAAGCAATTTTTTATTTTATACTATTAATAAGATTTACCAAGAAGAGCTTCTTGTTCAGCTTTTCGAAACATCTTTATCCTACAAAAAAGAAACAAAAACTTTTAAATTTAATTGAATATGTGATACGATTAACAAATCCTGTATTGGAATTCAATTCGAAGTTGATTGACTGAAGTGAAATAATGAAGATGTACGAAGTAGTTATATGAGAAGATAAGTGTGAATAAAATTGATAAATACAAGTGAGAGAGAGAAAAATAAGAAAAAAAAAACAACCTGTTGTGTGTTAATTGATTAATAGAACATATAGATTGCTTTTAATTTTGTTGATATGTTTGTTATAGTCTGTGACGATAAATTGTCTAATTTTCTTATTGATAACAAGTAGTCGTCAATGGATGAAATATAATTTATATCATCATCAAGATGGTGTTATTTTTCTATATTTTATGTAAGATGAATGATCAAACAATTAATCAATATATCGGCATATCAGAGTATTTTATTTTTTGATCAATGATATTTCATTCAATGCATATATTCTTGAAATAAATTTTATGTAAATTTTTATATAAAGTATTAAAATTGGAATGATTGCGATGGCTGAATCAGGAAGAGGTTATTAGGATTTAGTTTCTTTGTTGAGATTTTCGTACCTATATTTTTCTTTGTGGAATTCATAAGGAGTGTCTCATAAGTTTTGAGTATGGCCAACTAGCTGTTAACTCGAGTATTAATGAAATCTCGATGTTTCACAATATTTATTATTTCTTCAAATTGTTAACTTATGTGATGAAAAAATCAGTTTGATCATACTTGTGTAATTTATTGTACTATAGATTAGATGAAAGATGTAAATGGAGAATATTTATTTTTAATGAAAACTCATCTATATATGATAAAAGGGAATGAATTAGGGAAAAACATTTATGTACGTATGCACAATGATGATGTTTGACGAAAATTGTACGTTTCATCAATGACAAGCGAATTTTTACTTTACGACATTGATCAGATTTTAGAATTACAAAGACATCGATTGAATCATTTGATTTACTTTAAATTAGAGATAATCTTTATTTTTGTTGATGTTTACGGAATAAACTAAATACCATACTAATTATTTCATGTTCACTAAAACTTTGAAAATCGTATTGTGACTATGCAAGTATAATTGAGAGTCAAATAAAAAGCTCATATAAATATAGTAAGAAGCAAATCACTTTTTATTTACAATTAATCTAATTTTTATTGAGACCGAAAATTTATGGTACATTCTTTATTTCAAGAGAGATTATTCACAAAGAGTACTAATCGTCTACTAAAAAATAAAAACGAGTATTGTTGAATTTTTCTAGATGTAATACGAACTAACGCTGGAATTATTTTCTCTTGTTCAAGATCAGATTAGAGTTACTCAATTCATAACTTAGACCGTGAAAGTGTTGGTTGTGCGCAGCATCTCTAGTCTAGAGTAGGCATGCACTCAAGCCTTATGGACCCTTCTTGCCTAGATGAAGAAAAATACTCTTATTTACTGAATCGCGTGATATACATTTTTCCATCAATACGAGGTTGAAGTAGAGTAAAGACACTAGAGAAGGTCAAAAGAGTAGTTTTGACAACGTGAATAGGTAACAAGTTAGAGCTAAACATAAATTTCAAAATGAATGAGTTTGACTTTGAATTGTCTTTCAATTTTATTTGAATATTTTATTCAATTAGATGAATAACTACTTCATTCTAGACGAGAGTGTTGCTAAAAGAAATTTAGAAACGTAATGTCTATGTTTATACTCGATAAATATCATGTGTTAATCATTCATATGAATCATATGTCAATGATTGCTAAAAACAAATAAGAGTATGATTTATTATTAAATAATTGTGACAAGATTTGAATATAATAAAAATAACTTTTAAGTATTTACAATAATGAAATTTTAAATCAATCATTTCTGTTTTATTTTTTTTTGGTTTTCTTAAAATAATTGATGATTATCATATATAATATTTGCAAATAGATGTCCAAATATAGCTTTTTTTTTGTTTTGTTTTGTTTCTATTATCATCATCGATAATTATTAGACCAAACATATGGTAAACATATACAAACAGCTGCAAGCATAAACCAGCAAAAAAAAGGAATCCTGTATGACATGATTTTTCTTATACAAATATACATCATTTTTTTCTTTTTTTTTTATCAATAATCATCATGAAATTAATCTTTTTATTATTTCTTATATATTATCCATTATTAATTAATAGTGAAAATATATTATCTTATACAGATATAATTAAAAATTATTGTACACCACCATTTTATTATTATAAATCATGGTGTTATTATATATTTCCAAATCTAACATTAGATTGGTTATCAGCATATCGTTTATGTCATTCAATTGATAAACATACATATCTTGCATATATATCTGGTGATGATGAAATGATTGAACCATTACGTGATATATTAATTAATCGAGAAAAATCAAAAGAAATTAAATCTATATGGACAAATACAACATGGGGACAACAACGACGTACAATATTAAGTCGATATTCAAAACGAACTTGTCGTAAAATTGAATTAAAAACAAATTTAAAATTTGGACATATTGATATGTTTCGTATGCCATTTACAAATTGTCGAGAAAAACATACAGTTATGTGTCGAAAAGAATTACCATTAAATATTATTTGTCATCGACCATGGGCATTAGCATATGGTATATGTTATTATTTAGATGAACAAAAACGTTTTACACAAACAGATGAAGAAGAACGTAATATACTTCAATGTCAAGCATGGAATGGTCAATTATTTTCTAGTTCAAAACAAGAAAAAACTATTCTTATACCATTTTTATCATATTCATTAAATAGTCTTCAATCAAGTACAATATTAACAGAAAATTTTGGTGGAATATCTTATTCATTTGAAAATATTATACATGATAATTGTTCACTTATATCTGGTGATGTATATTTAAGTACAACATTTAATCAATTAAAAAAACAAAATTCTACTAAAAATTGTTCATTATATAATTCTTATACATTATGTCGACAAATACAAAATATAACATGTGAACCACCATGGTTTTATGATGATGGATTTTGTCTTTATTTTTCTTCACAATCACTTTTTGATATGAATTCTGGATCAATTGAATGTTCACAAAATGGTGGTCATCTTTTATATATAAATAATGAAGAAGAACTTTTTCGTTTAACACATAATCTTTTACATTTATCACCATTTTTTAAACATCTTTCATTAGCTGGTGTATGGTTAGCATTATCCTATAGAGCATTGAGTTCAGCCAATGGTCATATAGAAAATAATTTTGATTGGCGATGGGATTTATCAATTGAATCTTATTTAGATGAACAATGGAAATTATATGAATGGAGAAAATTTTTTCAACATCGTTTATCACCATATATAGTTAGTGCAGGTGATTGTGCTGCATTAATTCTTGATTCAAAAATACGTGAACCTATTGAACGTACATCATGTCATAATCAACGAACAGTTGTATGTCGAAAACCATTAGATAATGAAACAAAATCATTTCATAAGAAGAATAATTATCAAAAATTTTTACGTTTAAAAAATTCAACTGAAAAAACTGAATATTATTCAAAATCAAATAATATATCAACATTATCTACTCTTATGATTATTCGAAATATATTTGAATTATTAAATACAACAACATATAGATTAATTATTTATATTAATGGAACTTCAACATTAACAACAAATCTTATTTTTATATGTAAATCAAAAGGAATTATTTTTGAAAAATTAATTTTATCTAAAGAATTATTATCAATTATGAAATTTGATATAAATATAAAATTAATAGAAAATGAATATGAAATATTATTTAATTATTTATATTCATCAAATTGTACAAATACAACAAAATATCAATGTATTTATTTATCATGTATTAAAAATGATTCATGGTATTATACATTAACTGAAATTGAACATCGATTAAATATGATTCGTAATCAAACATCAACTAATAATCAATGTTTACTAAAATATAATAATTCAAATTTTCATGCACAAATATGTTCAATATTAATTGATCAATTTCAAATATCTGAAACAAATTTATTATCAACTTCAATATCTTTATTAAAAACAAATGAATGTATAGATTTTGGTGGACAATGTATACCTGAATCATTGATAGTATCATCATCAATGCAATTTATAGATAAGAATTTAAATTGTTCAACAGGATTTATTTGTTGGTTACAAGGTAAATTTATTTTTTTCAAAATGAATATTCTAACTACTTTTTGGACGAGAAGAACTTCAGATCAAAAAAAAATTTTTTTTTTGTTTTTCAATAAATCTTAATAATTTATAATAACCAAAAAAAAAAAAACTAGTGTTCATTTTAATTTTATTTTTCTTATATTCAGGTGAAAGTTGTAGTATCAATTCTTATTGTATTGATCGTATTCGATTTCCATGTCCTTTAATATCTCATTTAAAAAATATAACATGTTTAAATTCTCATCATGATTGTTGTACATCATCATTAATATCAAATGATTCATCATTAATTATTTCTACTAAATTAAATAATCAAAATTGGAATATTTTTTTATCAATATATTATTTTTCATTTTATGGTACATCAAAATGGGATAAATTATTTTTTAATTCTTGGTTAAATATGGGTAGTGATATATCATATGATTTTATTAATGATGAATTTTTATTTTCATGTATTGGTATATTTATTGAATCAACATTATTTTTAACACATGAATCATGTTTACCAATACATTTAACAACTAATGATAAACGATCAATATTATTTTCATTGATAAAAAAAAATGATAATGATGAATATGATAAAATTGCATTACATATTGATACATATCAAATATATTCACCATTTCAATTAGTACGTCTTGCATATCAACATGATTTTCTTATGAATAAAACATATAAAAAAATAAATAATTTAAAATTAAATAAAGAAAAAATTAATGAATTTTATTGTGTTCTTGTTTTAAATGAATATGATATAAGACAAATTAAATTAATTAATAATTTTGAACGACAATTTATTTTTTATAATAATATTTCATTATTTTCTTTTATAAATTCAAATGATGATGATGATGATGATGATATTGAATGGTTATTTTCACCTATTGTTTGTATTCTTAATGATAAACTAAAAGATTGGACTATTGTTGGTATTAGTGGACAACAACTTAAACATCAATGTAAAATAATTAATCAAATAAAATATTGTCAAATGACATTTGTTTATTCATCAACATGGATGTATGATGAATGAATAAAAAAAAAACAAAAAGACAACATTTTTTTTTCTCTTCTCACCTACAATACACAAATGTAGACATCTGTTGTATTTGAATGAAAAAAATCCTAGAAGCCTAATTTTTTTCACTTACCAATTGTGTGTATTAAAATAAAATTGGATTTGATTTTGAGTTTGAGTTTTTTTCTTGTATATGACTTGTTACCAAAATAAATATTTGCACATTTTTTCTTGACTCAAAAATAAAGATAATGAGTTCAAATTTGGGAAAAAGAGATTTCTTATTTTTCTGCGTATGCAAAAAAAAATCAACATTTAGTTGTAAAATCAAAACCGATAGATTTTATGCTTTCCGATAAGAATTTTAAATCATTGTCAAAGCACAAATTTTCAAGAATATTGTAAAACAAGATTAATTTGTTTCAATTGATAAGGAACAGTTCACACCTATATATTGGTCGTATTATTCTTGATGGTTAGATTGACTCAACTATCGAAATATCTGTCAATCTCTATGGCGCTATACAAATTTTTATTCTTAATTGCTATTTGTGTTACGGTCTGTGAAGCAAGAGTGAGATAATTTACTTTTCTTGCTATCGCCTTTAACATTACTTGTTCATGTGTCCTTGATGAGACATTAATGACTTGTTCATTACGTATTAATGGATTATTAATTAGTTATTTAAATAGTAAGCCCTTGTTGATGACAATTTCATATGCTTGTCATGGTTTTGTTAGGGAAAGATGTTCAAATTTCTACTCTATATAGATTAGCACTTCTTTTAGATTGTGGCACACAAAATACATTCTGTTAAGTTCGTAAATGACCAAATACAGAATGTCAATGTAGTTAGAGGTTTTAATAATTGGAAAGAATACTATGCATTTGACTTAAAAACTTTGTTCAATCAAAACTAATATATCTGCTAAAAATTCATATGTCATTTAAAAGTACTAAAGCAAACACATAGTCAAGAGATGGATTAAGAGTTTCTAATTTTATCTCGATAGATAGATATTGAAATATTTTTTAAAATGATAAACTTTAATATTTTAAAGCATATATTTTGTTCTCTCGTTGAGTGAAAGAAGTTGGACTTCTAGTATTTTCTATTTTAATACAACAGATCTTAACATTTGTATGAATAATTAGGTTAAATATCAATTAAAATATAACAAAAGAAAATCACAGTTTTAGAATATTAAAAATCAATTATTTTTAACTTGAATTTACAAAAAAACATTCTTACAAAATCAATGCTTCCTAAATTATCTATTTTGTTACTGTTCAGGTAACAAATTCTAGAATATGTACAAGTATTGAAAATATCACATACATCTTATATTTTATTTTTTTGCAACGTGTTACTACATACATTATTTTAGATATTTTTTAATAGATTTCTTCATAACATATTTGATTTTTATCTACTATCATCATTCATATTTATACATGTTTCATTTGTTCTTTGATTGATAGTTTCGATTTTTTTTTCTTTCCTATTACCTACGTTCTCTAACACATCGCATGAAGTATCATACAAATAAATCAAACTATAAGAATTTACACATATCTATTGAGTTTTGAATATATTGTATTGAACAAAGAAAATCCAGGAAAATCTATATCTCTATCGAAAAATATTTACATATAAAAGAATTATCTCTGATAGTTTCATGAAAATTCGATCTATAAAAAAAAATGTGAAGATTTTCTTTCTAAGACTTGTAACAAATGTTCTTATTTTTTTTTTTTGATCGAGTTTTGTGTAATAAATGATAGGAAGACGAAACAAAACGTTTCGCTTCATATAATTAGCCATGAACTATAGTATAGTGTAGCTGATTCAAATTAGTAAATGTTTTTTCATAGGCACATGTGTTGATCATTACACAGCAGTGGCGTACGCAGGGGGGGCCGAGGGGGCCCGGCCCCCCTTTGAGACGAAAAGTCCTGGAGGGGGGTACAGGAAAAAATATTTTCACGTGATAAAAAATTTTTTGTGCCATGGCCGGCCCCCCCCCCCCCTTGAAAAATTTCTGCGTACGCCACTGTTACACAGAACAATCGATTTTTCATTGGAAAACACAATTATGGATTAAATACTATTGCAGTACTCTTTTTTTTTTGTTTTTACACTTCATCATTAGATTTTATGGATATTTCATGTTTTGATCACTTGCTGGATAATTTATTTGGAATAATTTTATTTGATTCCATCTTCAATAAAAATATTCATGTTATATACATAGTGACATCATATTCACTTGTATGAAAACCTACATAAATACTTTTCATAGAATTTATTTTCAATGAATGTTTATTCAGATAATGAACAATAGTAGTATGAAATAAGAAAGAAGTTCACTGTCAAGATTTATTCTGATAGAAATTATGATTACAAAATGAGAATAAATTATTAGTTTGTCAAACTTAAAATTCATAATTGAACAAAACATTTTAATTATTTTATTCACTTCTAATTACAATATTAAATTCATAATAAAATTGACGAAAAATCTAAAAAAGAAAATGTATTGATTAAAACCTATTATATCAATCATAATCAATTGTAGATTCCAATAAAATATTACAAAATAGATAATCAAATGCTTATCTATAGATCATCATTGTTTTGTCCTTGTATTAATGTACTTTCATAATATTCTGTCAAACGTTTACCCATACTAATATATCAATAGTTTTCATTTGATAAGTACGAAATTGGATCGTGATATTCTTGTCAATAGCTATTCAAAAAAAACTATGCGTACAGGTAAACAAACACGTTTTTTTTTTTCATGTAAAGTGCTAATATAAACAACGTAATTGCACACATTAATATTAGCATTTCATACACATAAGTCGTTGTTTACCTGTAGAGATATTTTTTATTTGAATAGCTATTTGCAACCAACTCCCCCCTTTCGTCATTCTATTTAAATCATGATTTTGTGGTTTCGTCTTCTTATAATGATCGGTATTATATTAATTTTGATCGACAGCAAATGGATTAACAACCAAGAAGGAGAAGGTGGTGGTGATGGTCGTGGTAGTCGTGTTGATCGTGCTGCAGCAGTTGTTGAAGTTCTTGGAGGTTTCGGAGGTATAAAAAATCTATTGTTTAAAAAAGAATAATTTTATTCTTATCATAGAGATATATCAATATGTATATATTTATGTACATCTATGAAATATGCAGGAGTATCGTTACTCTACTCTACAAAGTAGGAGAGGGTAAGGGTGAGAAAATTTCTTTCAGTCAGAGTACAAGGTACGACAAAACCTTACTCTACATATATACAATGTTATAAGGGCATAAAAAAGGTGATTCATAAGCCATATTAATTTCTTTTCGTCTTTCTATATTAAAAATATTTAATCTATTGACTATAATGTTTGATACGAAGTTTCATAGTTTTAATCTATACTAAATATCATTTTCTTTATTTAGCAAAGCATACTAAGGTCCAATATATGATAATTTTTTTTTTGCTCATACTATTTCATTAAATTAGTTAGCAGAGATCAATTATGTTTGTTATCAACTTCATGATAACGAGACATTTTCATATAATTGTTTTTTGAAATGATTTGTATATAAAATAGAGTGCATAGACATTCTAACTACAATCATTTTAACTAAATTAACAATACTATATAATACAGTGCACGTTAAAAAATCTCATGTCACTCTTTTTTCTTTTATTTTGAATCATGCATTTAAATCATACAAGGTTAATCTGATTCGATTATATAGTAGAGGTCGAATTCTGTACGTGTACTCATGTTTAATATGATAAAGCCTTGAATATACAATACAACAGAAGAAAAAAAAATAAACGTCAATACTAGGAAAAAAGACAAAGCTATATCATTGTCGTGAAGGATCTGTTTCAGATTAAGTCACCTATTCAGAATTGAGAAAAAAGTCGAAGCGTACTGTATGGTATTTAATTAATCTTATTTTCATAAGACTTTACAGAAACTAGAATTATTGTAGCTCTTAGTATCAGCTGAAAGTTTTTTATGTATAATTTTGTAGAACTTTTCAAAAGTTACAAGCTCACACACTTAATATTTGCGATCATATGCTCTTTAATAGGAAAAAAATACGATTTGTGAATGATTTAATACAATTTTTCACTAATGATAAATCTTCATATCTTTAATAGTCTGATGAAACTTTCACAAATATTATTCACTATGTAGTACTACAAAATACACTATTTGGAAGTTGTACTATAACTGTAATTGAAATGACAACTCATATCTCGTTGCCATTCCTTTTTAATTCTGAATAAATGATCTAATTCGATAGTGTCCTTCATAAAAATAATATAATTGATATCATTTTTTTCTTTTTCAAGGTTTTATCTTATTAAACAGGTGTCTGTATACAGTATTCAACGTCTATATTATACAGGCATAGAATCAAATTAAATTAATATTGTGTAGTTTACATATATATGATTCAAAAGAAAAAAGCCGTGTAAAACTTTCAAAGTGCACTGTGTTTATATATATTATTAATTTGATTAATTTCAAGTTGATTTAAATCTGTAAAAGGCAATGGAAAGATATTCATATTTAATTGATGTTTGTTTTTTAATTTAGATAGAGGAAAAATTAATGGAGTACCCATAGCACCTATCGTTGGTGGTGCAGTTGGCGGTGGAATCACCCTTGCAATTATTGTAGGTTGCTGTGTAATTTTTTTTACATGTTTCCTTCCATGGATGAAAGGTCGTCCATTATGTTGTCCCAAATTTTATATTCATGGAGCAATACCTATAGGTTCTGATATAAGCGATTTAATCTTTATATCGGGTACATTTGCAAGTTATCATTATATATCTGATGAATATTATGGTCCATATGATATGATACTTGGATTTTATCCAGAAGCTGGTTATATTGTTTATGGAAAAGGAAAAGATAATGTGGGTACTTATGTTATAAAAGGTATTTATTCATCAAAAACACTTCGAATGAGTTTGAAAAAACATTATCAACTTGGAACAGGAAATTCAGAAGAAAATTTAGGTCATAAAGCAACTGTTCAAGTAAAATGGGATCGTATTAATCAACAGTTTGAAGGCAAATATTATGTTCGAAATAAATTGCATCATTATGAAAATAAATATGTAATTCGATATGAAGGTGCATAATGTTAATATTTATATTCATTATAATTTCGAATATGATTCATTCAAATGTTTGACTAAATTTTCTTTGTTCTTTTTTTTTAATTCTATACAAAACAACGAACATGAGAGAAACAAAAAACAAAAATATATCGTCTTGAGAAATTCATTACGTATTATCAAGTTGTTCTTTCCATATACTTACGAATTAATTATTCAATTGTCATCTTTGACAATCATTTTCCAAAGATCAATTCACTGATAATTATAACAATGATATTGTCTCGTCTTTTTTTTGATTAATTGTATTTAATTTAGTTCATTGTTTTCTTACTTCTACAATTTTTGTTGAACCAAAAAATAAATATACCTGATCGATGAAAATACGTTGGTTGTTTGTGGTCTTACAAAGTTATTAGTAAGATGAACCATATGATTTGAGCCCGAAATAACCATCAGTTTTTTCTCAAAGTGATATATTCTATCAAAACGAATAAATACGTTTGAAATCTACAAAAAATGACAGAACTGAGTCGATCACAGTGAACTTCGGTAATGCTGATGCATCTGACGAGGGAACCTCTCTAAATCTTAATCGCATATCGAGCTTATATTTTGCCCATAAGTAAGACTCAATGAGACTAGCAGAAGTCCGGAAAGATTAGTCCTCATACACTGTCCTTCCGAAGTTACAACCGTTTTACTGGTTTTTCGACCTCTGGCAATGGTATTTATAGGGAAGCTCAGCAATGGAATTTTGACCTGAAATTTTGTCCATAAACAGATATCATGGTCATTAGAATGTCCGAAAATTTTCAGCTAAAATGAACATTTCTTTCTCGAGATATTGAGTTTCCAAGAAGCTCAGCTTTTTGACCTTTGCCTTTGAAATATAGTCGTTTCTTGAAAATTCAATATCTTGAGAAAGAAAGGTTCATTTTAGCTGAAACTTTTCGGACACTCCAGTAACCATGAGACCTGTTTATGGACAAAATTTCAGATGAAAATTCCATTGTTGGACTTCCCTGTAAGTAGCTGGTAGAGGTCGAAAAACCAGTAAAACGGACGTAACTCCAAAACGACAGTGTATGGGGACAAATCTTTCCGGGCTTCTACTAGTTTCATCGAGTCTTATTTATGGGCAAAATATGAGCTTGATCAGCGATTAACACTTGAAGAGGTTTCCTTGTGAACCGTCTGTACTAGAGGCAGAGTTCAAAACGGTCCCAGCTCGAAGATTAATTTTTTTATTATAGATAATATTGCTGAAATTTTTTTTTGAATAGAAAACGTATATTCTGAAACTGGTTTTTTCTTGATGAATTTAAACGTGCTATATGTGTAATTTGTTCTGACCAATTCGACTTTATGTTCATCATTAATATTCTGTTCATCTTCGATTTTAAGCATACGCATGTGACATATTTTCTTCAACTACCGCCATTATACCATCAATTACTTCCATTAACGCGTTATACTGCCAATCAAAAAAAAATACCAAAGTTTACTGGTGGTTGTTTTTTCATTGTGTAGTAGAACTGATAAGAGAAGATCGAGCACTAGGGAAATTATAATGGATATTATTTCACGTATTCACGTGAGGATAAAAATGCGTTTTTTTTTCCACAGATAATTATATTTGATAATTTATTAAACTAACTTTCATTTGGAAAGGTATCTCTGCAGTCTCCTTGGATTGAACCAAACTTTCATCTTCAGTTACTCTTAAAGTTTTACTCTCCTTTTAACTCTTAGTTAATGTTCGCAGTGTAATTAGTTGAATTGACTTGAAATTCTTTTGTATATAAACGATATTTATAAACTTTATTTCAATACTTCGTTGCCAGTATGAATTGTGTTTATTTTTATTGATATATTTCTATTTCTATATGTTTTTTTTTATTGTTTTACTCTTTATCTATAATAACTATAATATTTTTTAGATAAAATTTGTGTGTTTTGGGTTCTACTCAACAAAATGATGGAGCAAACAAAAATCAATCACTGCTATTTATATTGACTAATTATACTCTTATAACTGTAAGAAATAAATATAATTTTGCCTATGAAAAAAATCGGATAAGAGCACATCTATCTGAAACATACCACGTGTACATCGAAGTTCGCCGTCAGCGACGGGACCTAGTGTATCTTGTAGAGAATTTTTTTTTTATCAAAACCTACGTACTGAAATTCCTAGCATTGATGCACGACTTGAG